AGCTTGATCTCATAAACAGAGGTAGATGCCATGTATAACATAAAGACATATTTGGAATAGTTTGATATGAAAACCATCCAATATGAGAACTCTTACCAGTATGAAAGAGGACAGAAAGCAAGAGCGCCAGACAATAGCTAAAAAGTTGATGACAGTAATGAAACCCCTTTTAAAATTTTCTAAGAGACTAAAGAAGTTTAGATTATGTTGACGGATTACCACAACCCCTACAATCCTAAAAAGTTGAAAGACAGCAGAGCTGGAAAACCATGAGCCACTCAAGAGCCTCAGAACCAAGAAGGCGGTTAACACCTTCTTGAATTCAGAGTTCTACAAAGTGCTACATATAACTAAATGCATTTTAGATGACATTAATGTAAGCAACAACTGGATCAGATAGGGAACATCAAATTTAAAAAGGATATTTTTCGAGATGATTGATTCAGACATTGTCTGAAATCTGGTTTGCTGCAATGAGAAAAATATCAGTTAGATAACTCTAGTTGATACATATGAAGAATCCAAGGGGTTGCAGAGTGACCGTACTCACCATTTGCTGAAGAAGATTCTGGACCTGGAAGAGAAGGAAGGACAGAAGTAAGAGTTAGCTAGCATAAATGCATGTTCTCATTTCTGTCAAATGATGTGCTAGTTAAAGCTGTCAGAGACCAAAAAAAAGGGACAGCAACACCAAATATGTTATATGTCAAGTGCACGGAAATTGATCCAAATGTCATGGTATTAGCATCATGATAAAGCCATATTTATGAATAAAGTTAGCTCTTTAAAGGGCCAAGATTGTATGTTAGAATTTTAATTTGATGATGAAAAAGAAAGTAATTTTTTATTCCAAATTCCCAAGTAATCACGCTTGATAACTCAGTGGTGAACAGATTGAGATGATTAGAAACTTTAGAGATCGTTAGCAAGAGGAGGAGAATGAGCTTAAGCTGCTGAAAATCAATTAAAGAAATTAAAGTTGTCTTTGCCAGAAAACTTACAAACACAGTCATATCAGCAGTGCTTTGTTTTGAATTATCTCCATCATGCCCATCCTGCCAGAAAATTGTGATAGCTACGTTTAGAATAGTGCCAATACAGCAGCTCAGACGCAGGAAAACACGCATTTGAATAAAACATACTATTGATTGAAAGCTCATTCTCTAATCTTTAGAGGGGGGTG